AATAATTTTATCAAAAACATAAAAACGCTACGTCAAAAATAACAATATCATAATCTCTTATATAATGTGTAAAAATGATGAGTTTCTAAAAATGATTATAATTATTATTTTATCTAGTAAAAGTGTAAAACATGTTCGCGTGGTCAAAGTGGTTTTTGATCTCAATATGTACGCRTGAGATTTTGTATGTTTGAAAATGATTTTAACTATTTTTTTTTTTTCATCGTGGTTGCGATGAGCGGCTTAGTGGACCTGAATACTAGGCTAATACTAGGCTAATAAATCAGGCACAACAAAACAACAGAAACATTGCAGGTTGCCGAATTGATTCCCGAGCCACCAGGGTCCCATGCCGAAATGCTGCCGTTCTAGATGAACTTCAGCCGGAAACTAGGCAGCAAATCGAAACGAGAAAAAAATGGGTGCGTTACGATTGCGTATGATACGATTCCATATGGACCTTTTTCATTATTACGATTGCTTATATTTGATACAATTTCATAAACGTTACCGAGACTATTATTTCCAGGCTATGTATTAAATAATTATATACATCCAAATTGTATATTTCCAACTAATATATGGGCTGAAGAACCTTCAATAAATTAAAGGTATCATATTTTTATAAATTATAAGAAAAATTTGGAAGTATTCTTGTACAATATAACTTTAAAGTTTATGTTCTGATACATAAAAATAAAGWGTCATAAAATATTTAGATTATTATTAATTCCGTAATTTTTACGTATTTTAATGTCAGAACAACAAATGGTCCAGATAGTTTCCACAGAACTTTTAACGCTCAATTCTATAACTCATATCCACCAATATACTTTGTGCTTGAAGCATTGAAAGAAATGCAGGCTGAAACCAATATAAAAATATCCACTATAAAAAAAAATATATCCAAAGTTATTCCATCAAAAAATATGCAAAAAATTAACCAATAACCATCATGTAATAAAACTATACGACCAATTTAAAATAGATGGTAATATATTAAATTTTTTATCTGGGACTAGTTATCGATACCTAGGTTTTAATTTATAACTTATAATTTGTATTTTGTATAATTTAAGTTTTTAGTTGACTATAAAAATGGTTTTTTAAATTATATTATTATTATTATTTTAAATTTTTTTTTTTTTTAACATTTATTAGAATATATACAATCTCTAATAATGGTTATAATAAGCATATGGGCTGAATTTACAGTTGTTGTGAATGCGTGAGGTGAGTAGCAACCCAGCGGTAACATTCGACATGATTTTAAGGTTATTTTACATTACATTATGTACATTTTACATACTTAAGTATTTTTTTTTTATTTTTTTTTATTATTTATTTAATTTAAAGTAGTGATAAATTTAGGTATCTAAATCGCGACACCAGCGTCTCTTTAATCTTCTCGGTGGATTACCTGGAATGTTTGTGGAGTTGAGGTCGAGAATAAGTGGGTTGGGATGGTTTGTAAGGCGAGAGCGGTAGCGCTTGTAGGAGGATGTGGCCACTTCGGCTACAGTCGGTAGTCCAAGATCAGAGTGTAAAGTCGTATGGTTGGTAACGTAAAAGGGAGCGTTGGTGATTATACGAATATTTTAAATTAAAATTAA